CTTTTGGCTTATATTTTCATAGGGAAAACGGCATGATTTTTTTTTCAAATCAAAAAATAGTTTGTTTTTAAAAGATAAACTGACCATTAGAAGAATAATTTAACATTGTTTACAGTGATAACAGGTCATTGTCGAAACGAAGCTTACCCATTCACGCTAGTCACAATAAACATACCCTTGAATAAAAACTTAAAAATAGACTCTTTTAGGCATCAGGAAGGATTGAAATGTCCGAAAAATGACACCAAAATATTAAAAAAACAACTTCTTAGTCCCATTTTTATTTTTTATAAACCCAAACTGCCGTTTAACAGCCCAGGGCGAATTTACGTCAACATTCAGTAAAATGTTCCATAACTGGAATATCAAAAAGCTACAATATTGATATTTAATGCAAAACACTGCACTGTTAGAATCCACTTCTACTTGTAGGATTTCACACATTACCAATCAAAACAATATTATTTTTTGTTCTCTCTGATTGCTTCTCAGAAATGGCAATCAAAATATAGCATCAACGAAATATGTACACAACGTGTACTCAGTTCAGCAAATAATGAGTGTTAACAATAGATTGTATTGTTACCGAGACACCATACAAATGCTGGGTCATAAAGTGAGCGAGAAGACTTTGACATGTTATCAAGTCACCAAACCATACAAGGCATTAAATAGCAGAAGATCACATAAGTTCAACCATAGCTTTTGCTATAATCTGCATGCAGTATTTTATCAATTTTGATAAAGAAATTTAAATAAAAAGATGAAATATGGTGGCTTTCCCATATAGAGATTTAGTTATAAGGAGTTAAAATGTGCAAGTGCTGATATGAATAGAATTGATCTTTTATCAATGTCATCATTGGGAACTGGGAAAGACAAATAAACATGACTTAAGAAACAAGGGCATGCAGATTAGTACATGCAGCAATTATTATCACATGAGCATATATTAGTCAAGCTAGGGGGTTCATTACTTTGAATTCAATACTTAAGTGAACTTGAAAGAGAAAACCATGGCATGAAGCACAGTTCCTCTATGACTGTGCATGAACAATGGACGTAATGAAATACATGTATTCACATAATAATTTCAACTGCAATTTTATCTGTTATTCAATGCACACATGAAACATGTAATCAGGTTGTCATGCCGACAGAAATCTTTGTAGATTACCATGAAAACATGTATCCTTTGTCTATTCAGGGCTCATACCACTAATTGAATTTTCATAGACGACAATGTTAACATATGACGTGATTGCTATATGAAAATGATGAAGAAAGTTGAAAACATGGCTCAAAAATAGGAAATCAACATGCCAGTAATCAACCATATGAAAAAAACTAACATGTTGGCCAGCTCAAACTCTTACAAATCTCAGGTAAACAAGACACACCTACTGTATTTGGATTGCACCAAGAGAAATCACTGGAAAAACACCAAGATTAGAACATCCATTAACACACAGAATAAACCCACAGGTACACAGCCGCTAAGTAGTAAACAAAAGACCACATGTTGGTCTCACCTCTGACCCAGGTGATTACGCCCTCAAACAGGGAGCACCTGAGAAAAATAATATTTAAAAAATTTCATTGGTTCTTGCTGGGCATTTAAATTGAGGGCTACGAGCAGCCATT